AAGCATTTTGTTTAACACTAGCTTCTACTCTCCCTTCTCTGACAACAGTTCTGCAACCCATCCTATGCCCCCACGCCCCACTTTGGGGGTAGCCCATGTGATTTAAGTCTAGCCAATCAGAGCACTAAGGAGCTACAGTTCAGAGATGATCATGTGACCCAGGTCCATCTAACTAGAGTGAATCCTGGGACTGAGCACCAGTGGCAGGGAAGAAACACACAAATTTTTATTGCAAGCCTGGAGCCACCAGCAGACTTCGCATACTGACTGAGCATGAAGCAAAAATAAAGAGAGTGAAAGGAATGAGAGTGAGACAGAGTCTGCTGGTGACCTTTGATCCTCTGAATCATGCCTCGCTTAAATTTAAGATAGATTCTTGGACTCTGTGCATTAACAAATTCCTTTTTTGAGCTTAAGCCTGCTTGAGTTTTCTATTATTTGCAACCAAAGGAACACTAACCAATACATACATTTCACTATATCTGTGTCTTTATATCTATATGCATTGCATTTTACCAAAGTGTCTCCCTAATAACCATAATTCTTTGAGGGCAGTAGATGCTCAATATTTGTCAAATGAATTTAGCTGAAGGATGTTTTGAAGGAGACTGACCCTAGAGAAGGGACATCTTTACGAAGGCTAATGAACTTAGTGCAACACGTAGTCATGGGACTCAACCAATTTGAAGAGTGGGATTGAAAGGGAGGGGACAAATACCGAAGAAAGATTTCACAAGGCAGGGATACAGAATGGGGTGGAACAACAGTTACATTAAAGCCTGAGTGCTACCCTGTTCTGCATATTTGTGTGTTTTGGTGTCTCTTTAGCAGCCAGCCTAAATTAAAATTTTATTCTACTGGCTGATTATTGCCTGTCTAAATCGCCCATCTCTGCTAGTTTTCACAAGTGAAAAAATTAATGATAGAGAATCAGAGACTCACATATGAGCAAATAAGCATGATATTTACGAGAAAGAGCTTTTATTAAACAATACCTTCAGGTCTTCATAAGAATAGGGGTAGAAGTTCAGAGACCCACATAACTCAGTTTGCAGTAAAGGCTGTTCCTGGGCAACTTAACGGAACATGAAAGACCAGCAACGGTCCCAAGTGAAATGGAGACTGGAAGATGATGTTGTCCTTCCTTTCTCTAACCACCAGCCAAGAGGACACTTGGAAGGCGTGAGCAGTAGCACCCAACAACCAGCTCCAGGACTCAGTGGAAGAGAGGAATAAAATCACTCTTCAAATCCTATTACCTCACATAGAAAAGTAGCTAAGTCCTAATTAAGCTCAACATCTCCACTCTCAGCGCATCCCTGAGACAGGCCAGGAGAAGGGGCACCATTTGCTTTACTCTAGGATTGTTGCACTTCTGCTCTCTGACTTTGTATTTTAAAAAATTAATTTAAACCGTTGCTACCATATGGGATAGTGTAGCCCAATGATTTCTTTCTCTCTCTCTTCCCTTTCCTGCTCTGCCTTCTACATATTTACCACTCCTCTTGCAGAAATGCCCTTGTGGAATGCAACTTTTTTTTTTTTTGAGATGGACTCTGACTCTTGTCGTCCAGGCTGGAGTGCAATGGCACTATCTCGGCTCACTGCAACCTCTGCCTTCCAGGTTCAAGTGATTCTCATGCCTCAGCCTCCCGAGTAGCTGGGATTACAGGGATCTGCTATCATGTCCAGCTAATTTTTGTATTTTCAGTAGAGACAGGATGTCATTATGTTGGCCAGGCGGGTCTCGACCTCCTGACCTCACGTGACCTGCCCACCTCGACCCCCTAAAGTTCTGGGATTGCTGATGTAAGCCACCGAGCTCAGCCAGCTTACTATTCTTTTTTTAAGAGTTGGGGGTTTCACTCTGTCACCTAGGCTGGAGTTCAGTGGCTTGATCATAGCTCTCTGAAGCCTTGATCTCCTGGGCTCAAGCAATCCTCCCCATTCAGCCTCCAGGGTAGCTGGGACCACATGTGCAAGCCACTGCACTCAACTAATTTTTTAGTGCTTTGTAAAGAGGAGGGTCTTGCTCTGTTTTGCTCCTAAACTCCTATGGTCTCAGTATGTTGTCCAGGTTGGTCTTGAAGTCCTGGGGTCTTGCTGTATTGCTGATGTTGGTCTCAAATCCCTGGGCTCAAGTGATCCTCCTGCCTCAGCCTCCCAAAGTGCTGGGATTACAGGTGTGAACCACTGTGCTGGGTAACTTCCTATGTCTTAAAAATCCTCCCAGTCTGGGCCAGGACCCTAACCTAGAGGATGCACAATGAACCAGTTGAATGTGGCCTCTTTTAGTCGAAGGGAAAGATTCTTTCTTTTTTGTTCCAGTTATTACTTTACCTATGTTATTATGCTTACGTTACATGAAAAAAAGACAACTAAGCTGTTCTGCCCATTTCAGAAAAAGTTTCCAATCAATAATTATGTGGCGACAAATAACTAGGAATGGTGACAACTTTGGGCCAAGACCAACAAGGAGGCTCTGGTGCTACAGTTCATCTCCAACAAGAACATGGCACACCGGCCAGCACAGCCATGCGAACACTGCGCCTTCAGTGCCGGGCACAGATTCAGATCAAGTTAGCAAACCAAGTGAAATGATTAGAACTTTTTAAAGCTTAAAATGGAGCCCAAATAAGTTTAAAAACCATACTCTTGTCTTTCCTTTCAAAATTCACTTAAAACACACTTTTCATGCTAACAGCCCAGATGGTTTTTTTTCTTACATAACCCATCTTGTAGCTGCGGACAGACTCTTCTACCTCAAGATGTAAACATAGGGGCAAAAATGAATGGCATCTGTATAATATCTCTCTGTACATTGCTGTTGGATGGAAAATACAAACTTTTTTAAAGAAATGTTCCATCTAGCTGGGCGTGGTGGTGGGCACCTGTAATCCCAGCTACTTGGGAGGTTGAGCCAGGAGAATTGCTTGAACCTGAGAGGCAGAGGTTGCAGCGAGCCGAGATCATGCCACTGTACTCCAGCCTGGATGACAGAACTAGACTCCATCTCAAAAAAAAAAAAAGTTTCCATCTTAGATTCTCACAACCTCTTGTTCTGCAGGTCATGCATCTGACTCTGATGCTAAGATGACAGTGAATGTAGCCTGTTTTGTTTTCAGTAAGGGGGACCTGGGAAAAGATGAATTCATCTCTTTTTCTTCAAGAATTATCAGATGGCACATGCTCCTCAAAGCCCTCACTCTCTTGAACTAGAGCAGGATCACACGGCCTTCTTTATAACACTGGCTGTCTTCAGTGGCAAATTCATAAATCCATCCCAGTTTGCTATTGCAATTTTTGCAGCTCACATCTTGAACCCTATGGCTGCCAGTGAGCATGACCAGATCTTAAAGTTCACTGCACAGCAGGTTAACTACCTTCTTAAAAGGCCAGTGGTGCCTGTGAACTGAGTGGAGATGAGTTCTGAGCAGTTGGTCAGGATCATGTCAGTTTGCATCAGAACACAGATGGGTACCACCAATATGATCAAGGAAAATTCTGTCCATTTTTATAGCTGACGTTCTAAAATCTCTGAGTGCTGATGAGATCCATGGCTGCCAGATCTCCTCAGCTGGGATGAAGACCCCAAGATTCTTGACAGTTAATCAAAACCAGAATTCATACTGAAGCAGGAAATTTTCCCTGACCCCTTGGAGGAGGGGGAGTGCAGGTGAGTGGGTGCAGTAGCTGGGGCAAGTACTTTTGGGTGCCAGCAGGAGCAAAACTCCATGCAGCCCTGCAGCAGGGTCTAGGAGGGTGCCAGTGACCCCTGAAGCCCCAGAGAGATTGTTACAGCACTCTTTTATCATTGCCCTCTGTGGATGGCTTAAGTATTAACAACTCAGGGAAAAGTCAGTGTGACAGCCTTTTGCACCCGCACCCAAGTTCTCATTCAGCATCCAGGAGGAATGAGGTCACACTAACAAATTGGAGATGGTATATGTGGGGGATTTTATTGCCAGTGAAAGTGGCTCTCAGCAGAAAGGGGAGCCGAAAAGGGGATGGAGCAGGAAAGTAATCTTCCCCTGAAGTCCAGAAGTCCTTTTGGACTCCTCTCTGAAGCTAACCTCAAGCCATCCCTCTGAAGTCAAGCTGTTTCTCCTCTCTGCCAGCTGAGTTCTGGGGTTTCTACAGACACAGAATGGGGGGCTGGGCAGGCCATGGGTGGTCTTGGAAAGGGCAACACTGGAGCAGGAAAACAGGGATGTAAGTTTTCCCTTTGGGCTGAGGTATTAGGCTTTTCAGCTTGAGGGTAAGGCCCTCGCTGGGGCCCCACCCTCTTCTGCCCAGAATTTTTCTGCCTCCTGTCCCTGTCAATACGGAATAAAATGATACGCTGCCATTTCATGTTATTCTTTTTTCTTGTAAAGACAAATCCTTTAGACTGGTTATTTACCTCTTTTTAAAAGGAAACTGTAAGGTCCTCAGGGCAGGGAGTATGTCTGTAAAGCCTTCTAGAGCTGGGATCCTTGCTTCCTGATCTCACTCACTCATTGTCTATAGGCTCTTGGGCAAGTTTTAAAATTTCTTGGTGTCTCTATAGAACACAGATAATAGTATTTAGCCCAGAGATAAACACATAGGACAGAGCTCAGCACAGAGTAGGTGTTAGGCCGTGTTCATCATTGTTATATCCTTTGCTTAGCACAATACCTTGCACAGGGCAGGCACGAAACAGGTGTTTCTTGAATAAATGAATGAATGATGAATGAATGAATGACTGGATAAGCATGTTGCCACCAGGTGGCAGAAGAGCCTCACTTATAAAGGCAGAGCCCAAACACTGGATTCGTTAAGTCCAGATACACACTGTTAAAAAACAAGCAAGCACTGACCCTCATTTAGGCCTCGAAGCGAAGTTCCTCTTCTCTCTTGTCCTTCCTTTCTCTCCCATCTCTGCTCATTCTCTGCTGTAATGAACCATTTCTTTCTTTCCCACTTAATACATATTAGTCAGTTGGGGCTGCCACAACAAAATACCACAGACTCAACAGTTTAAACAACAGACATTTAATGTGTCACAGTTCTGGAGGTTGGAAGTCCATGATCAAAGCGCCGTCCAGGCTGGTTTCTGGTGAGGCTTCTCGTCCTGGCTTGTAGATGTCCACCTTCCCACTGTTATCCTCACAGGGCCTTCTGTGTGCCACACAGAGAGAGGGAAAAAGAAAGGGAGTGGGAAAGGGAGAGGCGTTAGATTCACGCAATGAAGCCCTAACCGCCAGTTTGACTGTATTTGCAAATAGGGTTTTTAGGGAGGGAGAGAGAGAGAGGGAGATCTGGTGCGTTTTCTTATAAGGACTCTAGTCCTATGGGATTAGCCACACCTCATTCCACCTTAATGACCTCCCTAAAGACTCTGTCTCCTTAAACAGTCAAACCAGGAGTTAGGCCTTCATTGTGTGAATCTGGAGGGGACATCTTTCAGCTTATAACACGCACCTTTCATTTTTTCAATCCCTAATTCTCACACTTCCTACCAATGTGGTTCTTCTTTCTTACTCTCTATTATTCCCCTCCCCCACCACCACAGAGGGACCCATCTGCGGTCCCTCAATCTTTGTACGGCTTTTCTAGGGTTAGCTGTAAACTGAACAACTCCAGGGAGCACCACTCATACCATAGTCAGCATAGGTTTGCATCTGTGTTATGACACTGTTGAGGCTGATGGTAGCAACATGTCTTGAGGAAGGCAAGTCTTTCATTCACTCAAAGGTGCTGCCCCTTCATTGTCCTCTGTTGTTTTCCTTTCCTCCTCATCATCATTCTCTTTCTTCAGCTTCTCTCTTTCCTTACTCTCCTCTTCAGGCTGCACCTGCTCCACGCCCATAAATAGAAGATTTAATTCATTGCGCCACACGGTCATCCAGTACTTTTGTTGGGCCAGGCCCTCTCTGGGTGCCAGATGGTTTCCTCTATTCTTGCACCTTTAAAGGAATCAGTCCATTTACACCCTAGAGGTTAATAGTCAATGGAATGTGCCTCTAACATCCTTGGATCATTCATGGTCTTCATTTACCTTGTAACAGACATTAAGACTCAAGCATGGAGGAGAAGAGAAGAGAATATAATCCAGTAACACTCATGAATGTTTATTGAACCCTTGGGTGCTACACACAGTTTTCATCCCTCTCTATGCATGACATTTAATTATCAAAACTGCCTTGGCATTTTGTAGATGAGAAAACTAAGCTGCAGAGAATGTGGCAGACGCCTCCTTGTTTCCTTTTATTTTCTTTTCCTTTAAGTAACATGAGCTCGTGAATTTTGGCTGGGCCCACTGCTGCCCAAGGAGGGGCTACATTTCTCAGCCTCCCTTGCAATTTGATGTGATCACATGACTACATTCTAGACACCTGCGTGTGAGTGGAAATGATGTCTGCAATTTCCAAGTTCCATCCTTAAAAGGAAGTGTTGCCATCTATGTCCTCTTTTATCTTGTTCCCAGGCGGGACAGGGATGGGGTGTAGTGAGCCGGCTTTGACCAGGAGGGTGAGGACAGGAAGCTGGGGAAGGGCAGAGCAACCCCTCGAAGGAAACTTCACACTCACTCCCCACCCACTCACTACTCACCCAGAGCAACTTCCCGTCCTGCAACCAATCATGCTAAGTGTCCTAGAGAGGGGTACCCTTTTTTAAGAAAAAAACCTTTGATACCATGGTTTTACTGTACTTTTTCTATGTTTGTATATGCTTGGATACACAAATGCCATTGTGTTGCAATTACCTAGAGTATTCAGTACAGTAACGTGTTGTACAGGTTTGTAGCCCAGAGCAATAGGCTACGGCGTATAGCCTAGGTGTGCAGTAGGCTCTACTGTCCAGGTTTGTGTAAGTACTGTACACTCTGTGATGTTTGCACAATGGTCAAATTGACAAATGACACATATTTCAGATCATATCCCTGTTGTTAAGTGATACATGATCGTATTTCTATTTGGGGAACAGAGCATTGGGAAAGAACACAGAAGGACCCCTTGCCTTGAAGGAAGGATGGCAGATGGAATAATGTCCACCCTGGCCTCACAAAGATGTCCAAGGCCTTATTCCTGGGACTATGAGTATGTTACTTCACTTGGCAAATGGGACTTTGAAGATGTGCTTAAAGTAAGGAAGTCGAGATGGGGAGATTGTTCTGGATGATCTGGATGGACCCCACCAAATCTCAGGGGGCTCTCTAAGGGAAAGATGAAGGTGGGAAAGTGAGAGCCAGATAAGACAGTGTGATGATGGAAGCAAAGGAGAGAGAGAAGATGCTACACTATGGGCCTTAAAGAGGGAGGAAGGGGCCCTGAGCCAAAGAATGCAGCTTCTAGAAGCTGGAAAAGGCAAGGAAATAGATTGTCCCCTAGAACCTCCCTAGGAATGAATCCCGGCTTACATCTTGATTTTAGCTAATTTAAACTCATTTTGGACTACTGACCTCCAGGCCTATAAAATACTAGTGGTTTTTTTTTTTTTTTTTTTTTTTTTTTAAGCCATCAAATGTGTAGTAATTTGTTAGAGAAGCAATAGGAAATAAAACAGAGTGTGACAGGGTCCCTGTGGGGAACAAGTGGCGCACATGTAGGACATAACTGACAAAAGTTTAATGAGACACTGCGTTTTACAGAGGCCCAGGCAGGGTTACAGGCACACATACAGGATGAAAACCCACCAAGGCATTAGCAGCAGCAGCAAGCCAGCACCTCCCTGAGGCTTGAGGAGCAAAAGGAAAGGAATGGTGTTACTGGAGACCAGTGAGAGAAGTCATGTCAGAGGCCACCCAACGGAAGTAGTGACCACAAAGGTGGGACTGTGGGTGGAACAGATCGCCCAAAGGTGTCTGTTATGCACAGTAAGTTCCAATGGGGAAAAATAATTTATAAAGGGCCGGGCACAATGGCTTGCACCTGTAATCCCAGCACTTTGGGAGGTCACAGTGGGCAGATTGCTTGAGCCCAGGAGTTAAAGACCAGCCTGGGCAACATGGCAAAACACCATCTCTACTAAAAATTTAAAAATTAGTCAGGTGTGGTAGCTGGCACCTGTAGTCCCAGCTACTTGGGAGGCTGAGGTAGGAGGATCACTTGAACCTGGTAGGTTGAGGCTGCAGTGAGCTGTATTCATGCCACTGTACTCCAGCCTGGGTGACAGAGTGAGACCCTGTCTCAAAAAGAAAAAAAGTATAAAGGACTTTTGCCTCTAAGAAAATATTCACAATGACTTCCTCTCTGAATTTCTGAGGTCAAACCAGAAAACATTAGCAGCTGACTTAATTCAAGAAGAAGGAACTTGAATATACCTACTTGTTGGCGTGTCTTCAATTCTTGTTCTAGGTTTTACTTTGTTTTGAATATGAAAAAATGCTTTTAAAAATAAAAATACAAAATAAAAAAATGATTTTAGTGATTATGACTGATGCTTCTTATTTCAACAGATATTTTCTTTCTTTTTTTTTTTTTTGAGACAGAGTCTCGCTGTGTGGGCAGGCTGGAGTGCAGCGGCGCCATCTCAGCTCACTGCAACCTCTGCCTCCAGATTCAAGCAATTCTCCTGCCTCAGCCTCCCAAGTAGCTGGGACTACAGGTGCGCGCCACCACATCTAGCTAGCTTTTGTATTTTTTAGTAGCGACGGGGTTTCACCATGGTCTCGATCTCTTGACCTCACGATCCACCCGCCTCAGCCTCCCAAAGTGCTGGGATTACAGGCATGAGCCACAGCGCCCAGCCTCAACAGATATTTTAAAGGGAAAAACATATAATTGGATCACAGGATATAAAAAGAAATGCAATTATCTGTATGTGCAAAAGCCTAGCTAATTGATAAAAGCTATAAGGTGAGTCCTGCCATTCACGTTGGGTCAATGACCCACTTTTTCAAGCAAAGTAGCAACAGGAGAATATCAAGTTTCTCTAGTTTTGATACATCAGTGGTTAACCATATACAGGATCGTTTGGGAGAATGTGCAAGGGTAATTGGGTATTTTGGTCTATTTTTTTAGTTTTCTTGCTGATAAATAAGCTTCTAGTTTCAAGCCAAATCTCATCATGCAATTTCCTGCCAATCTTACTTCTCTACAGAGTTTACCTTTGCTTTTCCCCTCTCTGCCCTCAGGCATTTAACAAACACTGTGTCTTTTCATTTTCCCAGATTTAAGTGAAACATTTTGCAGAAACGAGGCATGTGATAACAGCCCCTAGAGCCCTACCCGACAGCATGACATTAAATTGGGCCTCTGTTTTCTCTCATACTTTTCAATTGCCCCCCAATTTATATCACATACATCTACATTAGGAGAGCCTGAGGTAATCTAAGTGAAAAGAGTGCAATTATCTAAAGAAAAAAAGTCAGAATAAAATAATTATTAGCAAATTGGAAAAATAGCCAATGTTGTCACCAATAATTTGAGTTTGTTTAATTATTGTTTGTTATACTCTGTTTCTACTTCTTTAGCCAAAGTAAGTTCTAAGCAAATTCAAATTTATCTTTATAGATGAAGTCTATGAATTTAACATGATAACTTAAAAAAATTTAAACTTGGCCGGGTACTGTAATCCTGGTACTTTGAGAGGTCAAGGCGGGAGGATCGCCTGAGGTCAGGAGTTCGAGACCAGACTGGCCAACATGGTGAAACCCCGTCTCTATTAAAAATACAAAAATTAGCTGGGTGTGGTGGTGAGTGCCTGTAATCCCAGCTACTCAGAAAGCTGAGGCAGGACAATCACTTGAACCCAGGAGGCAGAGGTTGCAGTGAGCCAAGATCGCATCATTGCACTCCAACTTGGGTGACAAAAGCAAAACTCTGTCTCAAAAACAAAAAAAAAATTACAACCTAAATAAATTCATTTGGCTCTTACCCATATTTCCCATGATTTAGATATGAATTGGTTTAAAGTTTATTTTTCAATGGGGGAAAAGGTTTACTAGGAAAGTAATGTAAACAATCTATTTAAGAAGTCAAATGGCTTTTAAGCACTTAAAAACCTTTGATATTAGCAATTTACTCATAAATCATGTTTTTAATTACAAATTTTTTTCTTTTTAAAAAGTATTTCTTTCTTTTTCTTCCTCTTTTGGCTAAGCCTCAGCAGCCAAATCTTTAATTTTACTTTTTAGAGACAGGGCCTCCCTTTGTCACCCAGGCTGGAGTGCGGTGATGTGATCATCTCTCAGTAGAACCTCAAACTCCTGGGCTCAAGCCATCCTCCTGCCTCAGCCTCCTGAGTAGCTGGGACTACAGGTTTGCCTCACCACACCCAGCTACTTTTTGTATTTTATGTAGAGACAGGGTCTTGCCATATTGTCCAGGCTGGCCTCGAACTCCTGGGCTCAAGCAATTCTTCTGCCTCAGCCTCCCAAAGTGTTGAGATTACAGGTGACAGCCACAGCACCCAGACTACTAGGTATGCTATTAATTACATATGTATTGAATAAATAAATGACTTAAAGATCATCTGACAGAACCTTCATTGGATAACATTATTTTTTCTTTTCCTTTTTTTTTTTTTTTTTAAATAAGACAGCGTCTCACAGTGTTGCCCATGCTGGTCTTGAATTCCTGGGCTAAAGTGATCCTCCCACCTCAGTTTCTCAAAGTGCTGAGATTACAAGAGTGAGCCACCACATCCAGTCTTCACTGAATAACATGTTATTTGACATTCGTTCTATCATTGTACATCAATGACTGTTGGTTGCCTGCCCAGCAGCCATTGCTCCCATCACTCCTGTTAGAATAACTCTGATTTGGTGTTTGTTATTTTATTTTATAAACAGGGTCTCACTCTGTCACCCAGGTGCAATGCAGTGGAATGATCATAGCTCACTGCAGCTTGGAATGCCTACGCTCAAGTGATCCTCCCACTTTAGCCTCCTGAGTAGCTGGTACTAGAGGTGCACACCACCATGCCAGGCTAATTATTTTATTTTTTGCAGAGATGAAATCTCACTTCATTTCCCAGGCTTGTCTCAAACTCCTGGACTCAAGTGATCCTGCTTCAGCCCCTCAAGCACTGGGATTACAGGTATGAGCCACCACACCCAGTAGCATCCATCTTTTAAAAACTTGACTCAGGGAAAGGGGCATGCTCCTCCTGCTCCACAGAAAAATCCTGGTTGCATGAGGTAATGATTTTCAACTGAAGGTGATTTGGCAATATTTGGAGACAGTTTTCGTTGTCACAGTAGGAGGGGGATTGTGCTACTGGCATCTAGTGGGTAGAGGGCGGGAGTGCTGCTAAACATTCTGCAATGCGCAGGACAGCCCTCACAACAAAGAGA